ATACCACATTCCTTCTTCTGTTTCATAGATGTTTTCCTTGTAAACCACCCTGGCTTTTCAGGAAATGTATTCCTTAGTTGTGGGATTATGGCTTTGTGGCTATCTGGGCTAACATCCTTACACGGTTTCCAATTATCATTCTCCCATTTCAGATTAAGTTCTTTCTCCCAACAGACTTACCTTATAATAGTATTCACCTTTATAAAATTAGCCCTTTCAAAGCATTAAGTATATATATTATTGGTTTGGACTTAATTCTGTTTGCACATAACAAATGTGATGAAATCATTATCAGTTATAGCTAAGCTATGGCTAATTTTTAGTTCTGTGATCAATTCCCTTTCATCTGACAAGATGAGGTCTAATATAGAATTCCCGTGTGTTGGATGCAACCCTTTTTGAGTTAGGAAACTGACATTTAAAGTATTTTGAAATTCCAAGTACATTTTCACACTGGCAGCATGAGACCTCTAGCATATGTCACTCAGATTGAAATTCACTGCAGTACAGCAGTTTTCCCTATATGTTGTAGGTGGGTAAGGTATAGGTCATGCTGTTCTCTAGTGTGATTTGATATCAGCTAAGTACCCTGTCAACTTCTGACTTCTCTGTTAGAACATTGACCCATAAACATTCAAGATCATTTCCTTCTGATTGCCATCAACTCAGAAACAGGTAATGCCATTTTTGAAGTGCTTTCTGTCCACTTGATCCTTCCAAAATAGATTATAAGAATTGATTTTGACATTCCAGTTTTCCAGCCAGTTTCAGCAAGAAAAACTAGGTCAAATCTGTGCTAAAAAATGACCTCTTCTGCTGGTGTCAAGTTTCCAACAGTAAAAAAGATGCTACTGAAAAATCTCTGCTCTTTGTATTCTTTAGCATCCCAATTATGGTTTCTCTTATCATTTTCATTTGCACTTACCAAAAGCTCATTGGTTCCTTCTCACTATTTCCATTTCTTATAAGCTCCCAGACTCCCTCACCAATCAGTCTCTTACAAGAACAGTTCCTTTGTTACAGTAAATTAAGCAGCAGGCTCTCATCAACAAAAAGTGACAAAATTTTCCACAAACCAAAAGCCTTCATGTTATGTCACTTACTTAGAGATTAAGTCTAGTCTTTTCTACTTGCTCTTTTCCATTGCTCGAAGGTCCTGAAGGACGTCGGAGAAGATGAGAGGTCCTGAAAGAAAAAAGCCTGCTCACTGCAAGTGTTCATCTATAATCTAAGCCCACAAACCTTAAGTATCGATAGGATGTTGTCACTGATTCTTTGCTTGCCGACTTCAGAAACTTAGCTTTGAGAGATGCTCCCATTTGAGATAAGCTCATTTGGAGCTCATGTGAGCTCCAAGAAAGCAGACAAACACTTTCTGTTAGCCGGAGGGCCTGTTAATGCCGAACAGCTCGAGCTGTGCTGATTTCTCACAGCTTCCACATTTTTCAGGGTCTAAATCGGACTTTGCGGCTCACCTGGCCTGCAGGCCTCTGCCAGAAGGGAATCGCTGGGCTCGTTCCTCAGGCCTGCGCCTGAGGCGACCAGCGGCCTCACAGAGCCCGAGGGCAGAGGTGCCTCACCCCGGGGCGGCCTCAAGGGGGCGGCGGGGCCTGACGACGCCGGCTTGGGGGAAGGCGGCGGGGCGGGAGGCCGGCCCTCA